GCTTGAACTTTGGAAAGCTTAATTTTTCAACTCAAGTACCTTTGAGAAAGATATTATCAGATTATATAATTTGTCAATATATCATTATATATTATATATATATATTATAAATTATATATAAGTTATATATCAAATATCATTATATAATGTGTTAATAACACATTTACCAAATTACAAAATGGAGAAAATAATAGTTCCATTTTAGAGTTAACAGTTAACATGTTTTTTTTCAGAAAATTATGATTAATAATAATACATAAACAAAAATACAAGAAAATGTATGTGATTGATATATTGATCAAGTTTTATATATATTTTTATTATTATATAATGTATATATTTTTGCACTTGGTGAAAACAAGACCCTTGAAAATGCATTTAACATTTGTAAAGAAAATATTTACAGAAAAGTTACTCTTAAATTTTATAATGTATACTTTATATGTGATATATTTATTAACTACTGTGAAAAAAATACATATTAAAGAGACAGTTCTGTTTTTAAAAAATATCAATTTTAAAAATCAATTTTAATCATCTTCTGTATAGGTGTAATAGACCTTGAAAGTGCTTGAAAAGTGCTTGACTTCAGCTGGGTTAAAGTTGTAAGAACCCTGTTATGTGCATTTGAAAACGTATCTGTTGACCAATTTACATATTTCCTTTTTTGTTGTTTATGTTGTTGTGTCATTTTGTGTTTTAACATCTGTGTTGGTTTATGTTGTTTATTATGTTGACACCTTTTCATCATTTCAAAATTCTTTTGTATGTTTCCCCATGTGCCCCGCCCCTCCCGATCCCGCCCTCCTTCTTCTTGTTTTCCTTTGAACCAATCATGTGCGTGCATCATGTGACTTATGTCATGTGGCTCTTGCATGGTGCTGATGATGTCATCTCTGCTGGCCAACAGAAGGTAAATGTTTTGATGTTGTATCATTCCAAACCATTGTAGAAATCATTCAGTAAGAAAAAAAAAAAACGTTTTAATTTTTTTTGTTAGATTCAGAAACAGACACATAGACATCTAACAGATAGGCACAACCATTAAATGTAATTTTGTATTATTAAAAACATAAAATATATATGTAAATATATATTTTATACAACAACATACATATGTATATATACATATACACATATATTTGTACAGAATACATGTGTATGTATATATGTGTAAATATATATATACAGTATATATGCATATGTATGTGAATATAAATATACATATATAAGTGGATGGTTATATACAGTATATATGCATATATATGTGAATATAAATATATATATATATAAGTGGATGGCTTAGGTTTCTAAGATAAAAAAGGTAAATGGCAAGAAAAGAAAAAAAAATTAATTATATGTTGAAAGAAATATTCTGGCCCATTGAGCTACATATAAACAATAACAAAAATGATTTATTATTCCTTGATGTTTTTGATGATATTTTTCTTTTCTGTATTTTCTAAAAGAATTTTCTCATCCCCATTTACAGTCCATACTGCATGTACTGGTATTTGATCATCAGTGAACTGTAGCTACTGGTAGTTTCCATCTTTCCTTCATTAATGCGAGGAACTCGAGAGAGTGTTTTACTGATTGGACTCACAGCATGACGTTACTGCAGCAGCATGCAATTTTTTCCAGTGTATTTCCTCTGCAGCCTCTCCGCATTGCTCTGCTGTGACCCAGTGGACATTTCCCTGCTGTTTGCATGTGTCTGTCCTTCAATCTGTTTTCACCTATGCCTCACATTGAACCATAATTTCAGCCTGTTCCGTGTATGAAAACCCTGAAAGGTTAAAAGGGAGTGAAAGGTGAAACCCTTCTGATTCCAGTCTGCACGGTGGAACCTGTTTAGTTTCTGAACACCTTCTTTTTCTGTTTCTCAAATTCAACCTAACCCTGTGGATAACACTGCTGAGTGTGTGTTGAATCTGCTGCTGTCACTAACAGTTTTTTTCACCTCCTACAGCCTCAGTGTTGCTTGTCTCACTTTAACAGAATGCAGGTTCTTTTTGGCTCATAATGGAGAGAAACAATGGGCTACAATTTATTTTAGTTCTTAAAATCAAAATCTTGTGTCACAGTATTAAACAGTGCAGTGTATTCAGAAAACGGTAAACTGTATTTTCTCCAGAGGGAAATATCTAAAGTTACCATTAACAAAGAAAATATTTTGAAAAAGATAGGGATAGTAAAAAAAATAAAAATCTGAATTTCAGCAGTGCAAATGTAAAGAAAGAACGTGTATTGTTTTAGCAAATAATAAATTTATACATTAGGAAGAAAGAACGTGTATTGTTTTAGCAAAGAATTAATTTATATAATTAGTTTAAAAATATCTATTTAAAATTGTATCTGCATTAAACAAAGCCCTGTTTAAAAAAATATTTTTATGAAACCTGAGAATAAAGTCAAAATTCATATTTGAAAACCCTAAACCTGTTTTATCTCTAAAATCTAAATTGTTACATGAGTCTGTGAGAAAGCAATTTTACATGTTAACCATTTGAAACTCAGCTGAGAATCAACGTCAACGTTGCTACAATTTCTGCAGACAAAAATTTAAATTTTTTAAAATTCTGGACTTTAATATATGCATTTGTTTAATAATTTATTAGTTGGTCTTTCAAAAAAAAAATCTTCACACGTATCTGAAGCAGTTTCCTAATTGTTAGCACGAACTCAAGGCTTTTTGACGTAACATTTCAGGCAGTTTAATAACATTAAAAACCAACACTGTTCAAAGCCCTAATGTGGAAACACTGATGACAAACATGGTTTGGCATTAGGAGGCGACTCCTCTGCACAAACACGCCACCTCGACACCACCTTCCCCAAAGACAATGTAAACATTATTAAAAGTAATAGAGCGACATTTCCAATCAAGGCCTACAGGCTCATTATCCACACACCCAGCAGCCATTACTCAGGGGTGCAGAGCAAATAATGAGGAGCCTTCAGTGTGAACAACACCTCGGTCGGTCTGGGCCTGAACTCCAGCTGCTCCTCAAAGAAATAAGAAGTCTACCTGGAAACGGCCAATGCCTACACCGCCACATTTTCAATTTAGCAACATTCACACCACCATTCACACCAAATGTGGCCCACTTTTTAGACCTCACGATTCCTAGATGTGGAACACTAAATACAATACAAATTTGTAATTTTTGGCAGGTCACATGACAATGTTGTCTCTGCTAGTGTTTTTTCTATGATGTACACACATTTAAGGTTTATTTTAAGCCCAATCTAGAACTTGCAAACAATTTTCCACTTTTTTTTTTAATTCGGACAAATATTGTTTTTCCAGGTTAAAATCCCGGTTAAGCATTAAGAACATATATTCCAGGTTAGTGAGAAATGAAGGTTTCCATGGAAACAAAAGCAAATGTAATTTTGTTCCCCCCCCCCAGAAATGTCAGGCGTTTTTATTCCCATTCATCAAACACTGACCTTTTTTTCAAAACTCTAGGAAATATTTCCTACTTTTCTGTTTTGAAGGGGAGTGATAAGTCACAAGGAGTCGCACCAAAGGTCCTTGTCAAGCAGAAAGAATTGATTGTATTTAGGCACCAGTCCAAAAACCTGACCCTTGTGTGAATATTTTTTACCTTTTTTTTTTTTCTTTTCTTTTTTTAAGATAGATTTTTTTTGTAGTCCTGAGGAATTGTCTCTGGTAGCTACCTCTGTTGATTGCTTGTTTGAGCAGCACATTTCAAACATTTGACATTTGGTTAAAAAGAAAAAAAAGTAAAAACTAAACAAGCTTGGCAGGTTGACAACAGTCCTTGAAGCTCTAAACCTTTTACAGCTGCTCTTGAAGACTGCAGGTACCCAGAGATTGGTGATGAAAGGATGGATGTGGGAGGATTATCGATTGGATTGTACACACAACACAGTCAGGAAGATTTTTTTTCCTTTCGAACCATTTTATGGCTCAGCAGAGACAAACAGAGGCAGAATCACTGATTTCTGAGGCCAGTTTTTTTTATAGCACTGTGATTAAGGTCGTCTCCCTATCCGCACTGCCACCCCTGATTGTAGTTGTTGGGTACAGTTTACAAAGAAAGCGCTACCCTCTTGACCGTGGCAATTTAAAAAAGAATCACAGCAGCCATCAGTTTTAAGATGATAGGAGATTGTTTAGAAAACACGGGCAGAGGGTCAGGGATTAGTGTGAGCTCAGGGCAAAGAAAATGACCCCAAATATCAGAAACTGTTCATTATGTTGGTTTTAAATGCCACTGTGAGTAACGGTGATATTATGGAAGACTTTGAAAAACCAAAATGTCAACCTTAGCTTCTGTAGCTTAGCTAATAACAATAACAGACCAATCTTTTGTTCTAACATATGCTAGACAATCAAAGGTGTCACAGATGGGCTAATTATATGAACTGAAGCTTAATGCCAAGCTAACAAATGAATAAATATGAGTTTTGGATTAGCCAGCTTCATAGATGGCTTCCTAACAAATGAATAAATATGAGTTTTGGGTTAGCCAGCTTCATAGATAAAAGGTTGCACAACAAAATTATTTGAGCCTAAAATCCAGGAGTTTCAATGTCCTTAAGTCTTAGTAAAATGTCCAGCTAGCCTTCGCTAATTCGTCGCTGACAACCTAATTTCATTTGATTCTGGATTGTATAACCTTTTTGTACTACTGATTATTTTGCATTTCAAAATGAATGCCTACTTAAGACAGCAGGATTAAATAAACGGGTGATCACTGCCTATAACCGAGCTGCTATATTCCATAGCATATACTTGTACTGTATGTGCTGTCACCCGCCATGCTTTACCTGCTTTTTTCCCTCTAAATAGGATCATGATTTACAACACTGACATTATGTTCTGTTGATGAGGATTTTAAATTAGTGTAATTTGTGACACCATTAACTAAACCAAAAAAATAAACTGATATTTTAAGGAGACTTCCATTTAGCGTTAGCTCATAATGATGTTTGCTAATCCCTGTTCCTTGCTTTATTCCCTGTAGGGGAACCCAGTGCTCCAAAAATACAAGTGAAGGTCCATAACAGGGGAAATTCTTTTAAGGTCAACTGGATCAAACAGGATGACGGTGGTTCTCCCATTAAAAATTACCTGATCAAATACAAGGCTGTGAGTATACTGTGAAAAAAAAACCAGAAATGTTTGTTACACTTGTTTTCGTTTTTCTCTTGTGTTGTTAGTTTTATTTATTTTTTAAGTTCACAAAGAAGCCACCACTGATATTTTATCACCTGCTGGAAAACAATTACCATATGTTCTCCCCAGTTTCACTTTAAACAAGGATATTTTCTCGCTTTGTGTTTGTTTTTTTATTTGTGCTTCTACCAATTACAGCAAAGTAGTTTTCTTTGGTGAGAAAAAAAAAACATATCTACATGCTGGGTTCTCGTTATTGAGAACAGCCTGTTAATAACTCAAGCTAATAGAATACACATTCAAATTAGCCAGATTATTGAAAAAAAAAACACATTGTAGCATTACCTTAAATGCTTTAATGCTTTTCTCCCACCATGGCTCCTTTCCCATCTCCAGAAGGATGTGTCTCTGTGGAAACCGGAGATCCGTCTCCCTCACGGGAGTGAGCATGTGATTCTGAACAGCCTGGACTGGGACACAGAGTACGAGGTCCAAGTCATGGCAGAAAACCAGCAGGGCAGATCTGAGCCAGGCGTCCTGTACTTCAGAACAGCTGCAGAGCCTACTACCATCCCAGGTACTCATTCCCATAATCCTTTGCTGTACGTCAACACCAGAAAGGTGTCATTAGTAAAAGCAGGAAATTAATCAAACACTTAGCCAAGGTTAGCCAACATTTTGTAAAAATTCAAGTAGCATAAATGAGAAAAATAGCCGTTCATCAAATTAGCTCAAAAATGGAATACATTTTTTGTAAAAAATATTGCACAATACCCCACACACAATACATTACAATTAACACAGGGTCTTTATTAGAGACACCTTCATCTGCTGCGGAGTTAAACTCCACTCTGCAGAAGCACTAGCTCTGAAAATCTCATTAGGGGTTAGATGAAGACAGAAAAAACGCAAAGATGGATCTTTGAATCTGGGAACACTTGAGAAGTGTTCGATTATATGTATTAAAATGTTAATTTAATAAAGTGGATTCATGAACCCATTCATAGCTGAGCTGCTTCAGCTCATGTCAGCCCCAGGGTTAGCAATTAGCAAAAGGAAAGAGAAAATCAAATGTATTCATAAAAACAGACACACTGGAAGGAGGCAGTCAAAGATTAGTCAAAATCGTTATATGTTAGCCAAACAAGGACTAAGTCGAGTTATTCAAAATGGACAGATCATTTCAAAACAAAAACAAAAACAAAACCAGCCGTCTAGCTAACTAGCTGAGCTTACCAAATGATTAATTAAACTGCTAAAAGCAAACTATTGATGGGGAAGCAACCCAGCCTTTTTTCACAAAATGCAATATATATATATATATATATATATATATATATATATATATATTGCTTTTGTGCATTACTGCAGGTGGTTCCCTTCCCTTTATCTCATACCAGGTTTATTTTTGGCGTTAACATCTGCGCTTTATCTCAGAAGGTTCCACAGCTGTTGCTCTGTAATGTCAGCCCCAAAAACAGCTGCTCTGCTGTAAATTCTTTTTTATTTCCTGCTAAATTAGCACCATGACACTTGATTCCACTTCAAGTTCAATCTGTTTGTTCTTTGTTTTTGCCACTCTTCACTCTTTTAGATATTAACAACATGGCAAAAACACAGGACAAGATATAAAAGTTTCCGGTATAGCACACATGCTGACAGTGATTCAAGGATTTTTGATATTATATTTTAAACTGTGGTGCAGCTAACTGCTGTTTGTAACCATCACCAACGTCTTAATTAACATTGTGCTAATTTGCAGTATGTTACGCAACATTAAAGTAGCATTACATCTATATTATCATTAGTATTTATCATATAGTAAATGTCCCCATTTATGCTAAAGTTACGCTTGGGGCGGTGGTGGCTTGGTGGTTAAGGAATCTTACTTGGGCCTGAAAGGTTTCAGGTTTGAGTCCACCAGCTGCCAAGTTACCACTGAGGTACCTGCTCACTTTGCTGAAAGGTTAAAAGCAGAGGTCACCTTTCATTGTGTGCAATGACACGTAGTTCACTTTCCTTAGGTCAAGATTACACTGTATATATGTGTTACTCTAGTACACTACATTGTATCACATTTGGGTGATGCCACATTTACATTACGTGATATTGCATTTAACGTACAATGCAATTATTCTGTGCTATGTTTTTGTTATTTCCTTCATTAATATGTCCACTAATGTCACTGTGCATTACTACATATGTGTTACGCCACATTTACGTTGCTCTAACATGGATCATAATGAGTTCAACACAGCTTGTGTTACAGTTGTGTTGTTATGCATGGGCCTGCTCCCCTGCCCCCGACCTCCATGACCAGTGGTGTCATAGTAGCTTAAAATAGCCCAAGTGGTTGGAGTTGCTCTGTTTAATTGTAGATTTGATGAATGTTGCTGTTACTTGTCAAAGAACATTTATATTCCAGTGATTTGCGATGGCAGTGTGTGACTTTTTTTCTTTTCCAAGTAGATAAGTAATGGTGCCCAGACGATTGTTTTCAAGCCTAATGAAGAAATATGTCTGATTGATGTTGTTGGCAAAGTTGTCACAATCTTATGTTCCAGTTTTCCAAAACAAGTAAACACAATTCTATGTGTCCCTGCTGCAATTGCGCTGCAGAGACAGAACAAATTGTTGGTGTTGAAATCAGTGCAATGTAGTTAATATTTGATCTTTTTAGGTTTCTTTCAAACATGAAACCTCATGTAACTTAAAATAAAGATGGTCGCCTCCTGCTAGTAATTAGAGTCCAACAAAATGTCTGCTACAACATAAGTAAAAAAAAGGCAAACTTAGATTATGTGATCATGTGACTCGTGTACTGGGTACAAGATGTGGACAGATAGGTGATAAGCTAACTCAAGATTTTGACTTCTCAAAATTGTAGCCTAATGGTTAACTTTTGGCTTTGAACAGACAGACTTTTTTGTATCAACAAATAAGTTGCAAACGTATCCAAAAATTTAAACATTTTGGCATAAATCTTTAATGATATAATGTAAGTAATTTTGAAGATATAGGTACATTTTAAATATTATTTTAATACTAATATGTTTTTTTCATGAGTATTTTTCATGAGCCTTGAGTATCACAGTATCAGGTGTTGGGTTTTTCTTTTTCCGCTTCAATCTAATTCCTTACTGAGACATTTTAACAGCTCCTGTCTTATGCGGCTCTAACAACATTCAGTTGATAATTCAAGCTTCGTGTCTGTCCTGATCTGCTGGTGGAATCCCCTAGTACGCTGTGCATCACTGGCCATTTCACATGCTGTAGAACCATCCGGACCGGTATGGATGTGTGCTCACATCCATGAGGTTTTCATCAGTCTGATCCTACAATGTGCGACTGATCTGATCAAAAACCTCCTCTTGTCGGTGTGAAACATCAGAGCAGTGAGACTGCAGTGACTGCAGCATGTTTGAAACCACGTCCTGTTCCCCCCCCCTTGTCATCATTCATTACTTTCATTCCTCTGACCTTCCACCCATTCCTGCCATCAACCACGTGTCATTGCCTCGCCGCTAACACGCTGTGACTCCTGTTTTGCTTTGATCCCCCAACTTTAGAGTTTGTTTCGTTTTTAGTTGAGTCTCTTGATTACCTTTCAAACTTGTATTTCCGTGTTTCTGACCTATTTTTCTCTCTTGTCTCTTTTTTCCTGCCACCTTTTCCTCTTCCTGTCTTCATGTGTGATCTCCTTGGACACCTGTGGACACCATGACATTCCCATGAACACCAACTTCCTTCACTGTTTCTGCTTCTATTCCTTGTTTTTCTTCTGTTTATCATTCCTTGTGAATATTGATATATCTACACTTGTTTATGTGTGTGTGTGTGTGTGTGTATTGGTCATTAACGGATGACCTCAGCCACCCTGGGTTGCCAATGTGTCACGTACAGTCTGGCGGCTCTCCTGCTGTCCGTGTTCGCCACACACTGGTTTTCATAAACTGATTTTGTTCAAGGAGAAAGAGAGGAAAAAGTCTGAGCCTTTAAAATCGTCGGGGCGCAGACCTCTTTGCTTTCTATGCCTTTTTACCCTTGTGCAGCCACACACAAGATATGGAAAAAAAAAGAAAAGATAACGAGTCACGATGTTATTACAGGGTGCTCAGTACTCGCATCATTCTCAGCATTTGTGGGGGCGGGCTAAGATTCTGTTAATATGATTTAATTTGACTTATTTTTCTCTATGTTGTTTAATTAAAAAAATAAAGTGGAGATTTAAAGCGGAATGGTAATTCTACTGGGGTTAGGTTGCTTTTGGATTGCAAAATGTTGCTACTTGTTCTAGATCCAGTTAGCATCATACACCGTACATGCATAAGAATGGAGGTAGCTGAACTGGGGTTACGACTCTTAGCCCTGAGAAGGAGCAGGAAGTGCTTTACTGAATGTGGAAGTCTACGGGAAACTTGGGAAGGATTTAATTTAACTTGTAATTCCTGAATAGATTATGGTCTGGAATGCTACTTTTAGTGTTGTTTTAGGAGCACATTTTTAACTGATTGATATTAAATCTTGTCGTAGAGTCTCTTGGAGAGATTTATCCTCCTGTTAAATAAAGTTTACAATTTTCTTAGACTTACATCCTGGACAGATTGACGTAAATGTAAGAGAGATAAACACTGCACATGTAGCAACATTTGCTTCTTCTTCCTCAGTTATGTCTGACAAAACATCCACATGGACAGTTTTTACTGTTCCAAGGTAAGTAATTACTTTATTTAGCAAAATAAACAAGAACACATATAGATTATATTCACAAATATATCTATAAATATTCAATCTTTATATGAGAAACATAGAACTCTACCTGGGAAATGTCTGTCTGGTTTCAATAGCTTTGCTGTATCATCAGCATAGAGTTTGATATAGATATCTTTAGATTATGTGTAAAGTACTGTTATATTTCAATTTGATTCACTAATTAGCAGCGAGATACTGTATGTAAGACCACACTCTTTTTTTTTTGCTCTTGAGAGCCTACTTTTTTTTTTTCTTTTTTTTTTTGCTCTTGAGAGCCTAGCAATTGTAGGATTTTACTGTAAAAGGGTCGTCATCTGACATGCAATGGGAACCAAGATTCATTCCACCAGAAAATAATTTGTTTGGTGGAAATTGGGAAGGGGTTGTAGGATTTGGTATATTTCAGTAACTTTACAAATCTGGCATCTTGTTACATTCGAGAACACCTGAAACTAGTAGTTGAGACCATACGCTATTCAGGAAAATAACACATTTTGTGGTGTTCTCTTTTCCCAGAGATTTCCAATGAAACAGATATAAATTAGTCTTTTTGATGGTTTTTTTATGGTTACGCTTTTTTTTTTTAATGTTTGGTCTGTGAGTTAACACATTCATAATGTCTCATCTTAGAGAGTGGTTAATCAGACAGATATAATAATATTGATCACAGCTGTCTCCTGACTTTTTTATCAACAACAGTAAAGTCTAAAAAAAAAATTTTATTTTAAATTTGAATCCAGGATTTTAAAAACAGACACGTTGTGAAATAGCCGTGTCGCAAATGACACATGAGCATGAAAAGTGCATGAGAGCTGAGACAAGGCA